GAACTTTAAATCTCTGATACAATTCCATTATCTGTTTATTTAGAATTTAGAAGGAATCTAACTGATATCTCATGGGTACATCCAGTCACTGAATATCCGAGACTGGGAGGTCTGGGCATAATCTTCCATGAGGTACCTAACAGCTAGTCACTTCCAAATTGGCTCCGAAACAAAGTACCACAGGAGGTCCAATTAGAGGGTGTAGAGGATTGACAGCCCCAGCAGAAGAGGTGGCCACTACTGAGGCAGATAATAGACTCTGAGGATGCCTCAAAATGGAGCCTTCCAAAAATGTAAAAATAAAGAATAGCAACAGGACAGTTTGTTCATGGCCAACTGTTGTGATGACTCATTCATGGGGTTCGATAACAGAGGAAGTGAGAGAAACATCAATAACCGTAGCCTGCTTTATATACTGCTTCCAGGTACCTGCAAGGCTTTAGTCTTGACAGGAGATAAGAATCTTTCCAATGTTGAATCTATCAGGAACTTGCTTCTGACTGATCACATATGTGGTCTAGTTGACTACCTGTTGCTACTGCATCGGTCTCACCTACAGTAATAAAGCACAGGTGTGGGTCATACTGTTTTCAAGTACTTTTTCAAATACCACTTGTTATGATAGCTCATAGTATATTTGAAACCTTGGGTTCTAAAGTAGGTGATTCTATACAGCAGAATTTTAGTTTCTCACTTCTATGAAGATTGAATTTTTTTTTTAAAGGTCAAAGACATTTTGATCACAATTCAAAAAAGCATTTCCAAGAAGTCATGTGATTTTAGATAAATGACCACCAAGCCACCTGAAGAAATAATCACTCAGGTATTTGCTGTTTTATGGCCACCACACAGAGAGTGAGAAGGTTCCCAAATGAGCAAAGGAGAGAGGCCTGGAACAGCGGAGATATTGTTAGACTCCAAGAAGAGAGGTCCAGAGAAGTTCTGAGTTGCTTCCATGCCACTGTCAAAGAAGACGGAAAGAACAGAAGAAAGCTAGAAGCAGAAGGCTTTGGGGTATCAGACAAGAAGACCATCCCACAAGACTGCTGAAGACATGAATATAGGGAACCCAAATTAAGTAATATTGAGCCAAGTGAGCAAATTGTCTTAAAGGTTGCTGGGAGAACTGAAGAAATTAACTGGAAAGGAAAGGAGCCTAATGAATGTGTAACAATTTGCTGTACGGAAACCCATTTCACATGTGTCAGCTGAGCAAGAAGCTTTAGCTTCTTTAGGTGAGAGTGACTCAGCATTGAGGTTTGAATACTGTCTGTAAGGGTATTCCTCGGATGACAATCTTTCCTTCTAACATTATAGTGAGATTGTTCTGCTTTTGTGCCATAAACATTTATATTCTTTTTGTTTAAATTACATTGGCGGCCTTTTGTACAAATATTCAGTGATTGACCTACGCGTAAACAAAAATAAAACTTTCGTTTTTTATTCTAAGTCCCACTCTGAGATCTAACTTGGAATCATAACATAAAACCTCTACCTTGACTCCACAGGGCTGAAATTCTACTAATAGTGTCAAATTTGGCTCAGTAATTGTACTCTTGCTTGAATCAGATGTTTGTGAGTTTGAGCCCCATTCCCAGACATTGAGCTCATAATCTCTGTACAGATCAGTAAAATACTGAGGAATGTCTGCACTGCTGAAGAAACTGTCTTTCAGATAAGATATTCATCTTTCTCCAGTAAATGAATGTAAAAAAAATTCCTCAGAATCTTATTTCAAGAACAGCAGGGAAATTTACCTGATGTCTTGACCAAAATCTATACTTTAAATAACATTATTAAAACCAATTATGATCACAAGTTCATTTGGTGTCTGTGGCACGTGTGTGCAAATTGCTGCTTTTTCTGTTGCATTACAATAGTATCAATAGTGTACGCAGATGTCCTGACATGAAGATAGGAGCTTCATTAAATGCAATCCATTCTTTCTAAACTTTATTTCATATGACCAGTTGCATATTATATAAGGTGCTATTTAGTTGGCAAAACTGTCAGACAGTTTAATTAAGTTCCTGTAAATGGCCTGAGTTTGTAGGAACACCCTGGTGTTGGTTATCAGCCAATCTCCCATTTATCTTTGACGGTCTCAGACCATGCAAATAGAATATGCGAGAACTCTTTGACTTTGGGTCTGCTAGTTCCAAATGAGCCTGATTCCCAAAGAATCCCTGCCAGAGAGTGGTCTTGCACTGGCATGCATATACAACTGGACCCTTTCCTCAATCTCCCAAATTGGAATGATTAACTCAATGCACATGTGCTGAAGGGACAGTTTCAAGCCTTGATAGGGGTGAACCTGACAAATGTAACTGAGGCTCTTTTTAAACTGTTGGAATACACTTCAAATTCTCAATAACAACATTGTTGTGAAACAACATATGCAACCTGCAAGTGATTTGTAAAATAGAGTCATAGAGTCGTGCAGGACGGAGACAGGCCCTTCAGCTCAAACAGGTCCAGGCCGATCAAAATGTCCATCCATGCTAACCCCACTTCCCTGCACTTGGCCCCTATCCTTCTAAACCTTACCTATCCATGTATTCGTCCAAATGCCTTTTTAAATGTTGTTAATGTACCCACCTCATCCACTTCCACCGACAGCTCATTCCATATGCGTGCCACCCTCTCTTTAAAAAAAAAACAGTTGCCCCTCAGGTTCCCATGTATTCTTTCCCCTCTTACTTTAAACTGATGCCCTCTAGTTCTCAATTCCCCAACCCTGGGAAAAAGACTGAGTGCATTCACCCTATCCATGCCTCTCGTGATCATATACACTTCTGTAAGATCCCGCCTCAGTCTCCTACACTAGAAAGAAAAATGTCCTAGCTTGTCCAACTTGTCCTTATAACTCAGTCCCTTGAGTCCTAGCAACATCCTTGTAAATTTCTTCTGCATTCTTTCCAGTTTAATAACGTCCTTCCTGTAGCAAGGTGACCAAAACTGAAGACAATACTCCAAGTACGGCCTCATCAACGTCCCGTACAACTGCAACATAACTTGCCAACTTCTGTACTCAGTGTCCTGACTGATGAAGTGCCAAAAGCCTTCTTCACTGACCTGTCTACGTGTGACTCCACTTTCAGAGAACTGTCCACCTGAACTCCAAGATCCCTCTCTTCCACTATACTCCTTAAGGCCCTACCATTCAGCATGAAACTCCTGGCTTGATTTGCCTTTCCAAAATGCAACACCTCACACTTGTGTATGTTAAACTCCATTTGCCATTTCTCGGCCCACTTCCCCAGCTGATCAAGATCCTGCTGCAATATCTGATAACCTTCCTCACTGTCCACGATACCGCGTATTTTAGTGTCATCCGCGAACTTACTAATCATGCCCTATATATTCTCATCCAAATCATTGTTATAGATAACAAACAGCAATAGGCCCAGCACTCACCCCTGAGGCACACAACTAGTCACAGGCCTCTAGTCCGACAAGCATCCTTCCACTATTACTCTCTGCTTCCTACCATCAAGCAAATTGTGTATCCAATTTGCCAGCTGTCCTTGGATTCCATGCGATCTAACCTTCCAGAGCAGCCTACCATATGGAATCTTATCAAAGGCCTTACTGAAATCCATTTAGACTACATTACCACACTGCCCTCATCAACATTCCTAGTCACTTCATCGAGGAACTCTAACAAATTTGTGAGGCATGATCTCCCATGTAGAAGCCATGCTGACTACCCCTAATCAAACCCTATCTTTCTAAATGCATATATATCTTATCCCTCAGAATCTTCTCAAGTAACTTACCTACCACAGATGTTAAGCTTACTGGTCTGTAATTCCCGGGTTTTTCTTTGCAACCCTCCTTGAATAAGGGCACAACATTCGCTACCCTCCAGGCTTCCGGGACCTCACCTGTGGCTAACAATGATGCAAATATATCAGCTAGGGCCCCTGCAATTTCTTTTTGAGCCCCTTGCAGGGTTCTTGTATATACCTGATCAGAACCAGGAGATTTATTTACCTTCATACATTCTAATACTTCCAACACCACCTCTGCTGTGATATGGCCTGTCTGCAAGATATCGCCACTAACCGAGCTGGTTCGTTATCATCAGTGATGATGCTACCCAGCAGGGTAATGAAATGTCTGCGAACTAACGAACCAGCTCAGCGAGCGGACCAACCACAGCATCCACAACCCGAGCTACAAATCTACTCAAGAATCTTAGATATTGCCACTAACTTCCCCAAGTTCTCAAGTCTTCATGTCTTTCTCCACGGTAAACACAGAGGAGAAATATTCATTGAGGACCTCATCCATCTGCTGCAGTTCCACACGTACATGTCCACTTTGGTCCTTAAGGAGTCCTATTTTCTTTCTAGTTATTCTTTTTCCTTTAATACACTTGAAGAATGTCTTTGGATTCACCCTAATCTTCTCAGTCAAAGCTATCTCATGCCCTCTTTCCACCCTGCTGATTTCCTTCTTCAGTAAACTCTGCATCCCCTATATGCCTCCAGGGATTCCTTGGATCCCAGCTGCCTGTTCCCTAGCCGTGCCTCCTCCCTTTTTCTGGTCAAAGCCTCAATATCTCTTGGCATCCAAGGTTGAAAAAACACTTCTCTAATCCAGGTAAAGAACTTCCAGAAACCTGAATCTATGCTCACCTCAAATATTCCAAGTTGTTAACGTATGAATTACCTAACAAATTAGGTATTCTTCAAATCATAGCAGTTTGGTTTTTAAGATAAGACCTTTCTGCCTATAAGGATTCTTTGTAAGAGAACACATGGTAGCAACAATATCACATTACTGTTATAACTCTACTGTCTCTTGTTTCTATGCAGTTTCATGATCCAAAGAAGTCTTATTCTGGTCATAACACCCTGTGTGAAAAACTGGAAGTAAATGAGGATATTACTGTCCATGTTGGGCTCACTATAGGTCCATTTGCTATCACATTGGACAGTTGAAGAAGGAAATAAATGATGGTTTTTAAAAAAAATTCTCATTCTATTTTTCAGAAATTCATACTGTACTTGGAAACTCACGTGGGAGGCCGTGTGCTCTGCCATTTAAATACAATAATAAATTGTACCATGAATGTACTAATGAAGGGAGAGATGATAAACTCTTCTGGTGTGCAACCACCGACCATTATGATGTTGATGAAACATGGGGATTTTGTCCAAATTTGGGTAAGCGTCTGAGATGGCTGTGTACCATTACTAGTTTAAAATTTCTAACTTCCAGCAATTAGTAGTTTCCATTCTGTTTTTCTACAGATCCTGGATGTGATCTGCTTTGGGAAAAGGATCCTTTTTCACCAAATTGCTACCAGTATAATCTTCAGGCTCTTCATTCTTGGAACGAGGCCCGTGCTTCGTGTCAGGCACAAGGAGGAGACTTGCTGTCTATCAGAGATCTTAAGGAGCAGGAGTACATTGTCAGTAAGTTTTTATAAATAAGGAGTGCTCTCATTTTTAAGCCTGAGGCAACTGCAAATTTGTCAGTCACCCCTTTTTTAAAAATGTTTCTTCATAGTGTTTGAAACTTTTTTTGTTTTAACTCTTACTATATTGTTAGGACTGATTAAATACTGCTTCCCTTAGCAATTTCCATCTGAAGGACATTGTTTTGGTTTGTATGGACAAGACGTAATCTTGTTGTAAAGTGCTTGCACCAGACTAGCTGTCAGTTGCCTCAAATAAAATAAATATTGTACCAGCAGCTTTAAAAAACACCACTGCTAGTTTTGATATAAATATATACACTGATAATTTTTTCAAATGACCACAATTTTGTCATCCTAACATTTAATGTGTGTTGCAGGGTTAACTAATGCTTTATTAATTTTGGATCTCCTGGATGAGCATGTATTATGTGGCACTATCTAATATGCTTTTTTCCCCAAAAGCAGCATGATTTTTTGGATTGTCACTGAAAATAATGATTTCTGATAAATGTTACCATCATGGGGAAGGTAATTTTGAATGAAGAATGGTGGCACAAATTGCCCACCTCATTCATTTCAACAGGACTTGTATGACAGAAAATGTCGACTTAATGCTGTTATTCAATTTAGAAAATATAATTGAATTTTGAAAGCATCAAAATATCACAAGTGTTTGTTGACACTTGGAATGGGAAAATTATGGGGCAGATAAATTACTTCCTCATTTGTTCTTACTTCATTGAATTTTGGAGTCAAACAATGGCTGACCAAAACAGACAATAATGAAGAAAAGAATGGAGGAAAGAAAAATAGACCCAATGAGGACGAGATGGATTCTGACATTTTATCATTTAGCTATTGGGGAATGGATGGAACATTAATATGGTGAGTGACAACAGTGGTAAGTATGCGACACAGATTACTGCACTGGTGATGGAACGAAATAACCTAATGGATTTCAAGAAGGAAAGAAGTTTTTGTGAACACACATGATTCATCAGCATGCACTACTATGATGCTGTGACTGAAGCATTTACAATCCACAGGATGCAATCTAGCATGTAGACAAGACTTTTTTGTTTTGGCAGTATCTGAAACATCACCTGAAGGACAAGGTCAGCAGATGCATGGGAACACCATCGCCTCAAAGTTGCACACCATCCTGGCTGGGGTATACATCTCTGGATCAAAAACCTAGAATTCCCTCCTTATTGGATCAGCTTCACCATATGGACTTAAAGAAGAAAGTCCCATTTTATGTAGGACAACTGGAGATGTGCAGTAATTACTAACCTTGTCAATGAATGTCACAAAAACAAATATTTTAAAACCTACAATTTTGTTTTTAAGGCACAGTCATTTGGAATGCCATTGGATCATGAATTGCGTTGCTGCATGACGCATTTTGGAAACAGTGCACAGATTTATTTTCCAAAATTACATCAAAAGTATGAAACAAATTTGTGACAAAGTTGGCTGCTTTTGACATTGTTATGGTCCAAATTTCTGACATTGGTAGAATTTCTAGTCATAGGAATATCATGGTTGGATAAATGAATACCAGTGGCAGACCAGTAAAAGGTCAAGTGGCACATAGATCAATTAAAGGCCTTTATTCTATCATACACTGAAAGAATATTCCCACTAAATGTTGTTGTTCCAATTTGGAGATGTTTGCACTGAGATTGGTGGTCATAAAATGTTGCACTTCAGCCATATGTCAGTTGTATTGATTGTCTGATGAAAATTTCAGCGCACAAAGTAATCTCGGGTTTGCAGATTTGAATGAAAAATAAAATGCTCTACTTACATAACCATTATGGATAGATTTGCCAGAAATAACATAATGGCTAAAAATCACTTAAGCTACTCCACTGGTCAATTAGGTGGAATTAATAATTTACTTTCATAATATGGGCACTTGTTATTATTTTTCTCCTGCAGCTTTCTTCTAGGAAAAATAATTCGGTTGAGTTTACTAATGGGATGTGTGAAAACAAAAGAAGTATTAATCGATGAATGTGAAACAGTACAGCATTCATTTAGAATGAAGCAAAACTGCAAATGCTGGAAATCTGAAACAAAAACAGAAATTACTGGAGAAATCAGCAGAATTGGCAGCATCAGTGGAGAGAAAGCAGAGTTAATAATTAGAGTCTAGTGACCGTTCTTTAGACCTGCTGAGTTTCTGCAGCAATTTCTGTTTATTTTTAAAGCATTCATTTAGTTTGCATATTTTTGCTTAATTAATCCATGCTTGTTTACACTATTAGATTTGACACTGGAGAGATATCTTAAGTGCAATACCATAAAATCTACTTGTGTGAAATTTCATACTGCTGCAAACATTTCTTACAGAACATTTGCGACATGTTGGAATTCTGGCATGGATTGGCCTGAATCAATTGGATGAAGGTGCTGGGTGGCAATGGTCAGATGGAGAACCTTTGAGCTTTGTAATTTGGGACACAGGTATTTGGAAAACCGCTTTGACTAGTGTTATCATTTAAGTGTTCAACTATCCCACAACTCTTACTTAATTTTAACAGATTGATATGTTTTGATTGGGTTTGTACATTGATATGTTCTATAATTGCAATCTATAACCATGAAGGATTTTGGAGGGAAGGGCGCCATAATCCATGACTGCATCATCATCACCCTATACATGTGCATGCACACACACATGCATACATGCACAGACACACACACACGTGCGCAAACACAGTCACGTGCACAAGCACAGACACATGCGCACATACACAGATACACACATTCTCACATTCACAGACATACACATGTGTACACACCTCCAATTTAAAGTACATTTCTCAGAAATCAAATTAAGGACAGCATTTGCTTTAGCTATTGGGGTGGCATGGTGGCTCAGTGGTTAGAGCAATAACTCACAGCACCAGCCATCCAGGTTCATATCCCACCCTCAGGTGGCTGTCTGTGTGAAGTTTGCACATTCTCTCTGTATCTGCATGGATTTCCCCAGGTGGCCCAGTTTTCTCCCACAGTCCAAAGATGTGCAGGTTAGATGGATTGGTCATGCTACATTGCATCCAGGGATGTGCAGGCTAAGGGGATTAGTTGTGGGAAATGCAAGATTACAGGGGTAGGTGTGGGTGGATGCTGTTTGGAAGGTCAGTTGATATAATGTGACAACCCCACTCTTGGCTCTTGTGAACTGTAACAAGCAAATTCCGTCCAATCTCTTCGGAGATAGTAGGAACTGCAGATGCTGGAGAATCTGAGATAACAAAGTGTAGAGCTGGATGAACACAGCAGGCCAAGCAGCATCAGAGGAGCAGGAAAGCTGACGTTTCGGGTCTTGACCCTTCTTCAGAAATGGGGGAGGGGAAGGGGATTCTGAAATAAATAGGGAGAAAGGGGGAGGCGCATAGAAGATGGATAAAGGAGAAGGTAGATGGAAAGGAGACAGACAGGTCAAAGAGGCGGGGGTAGAGCCAGTAAAGGTGAGTGTAGGAGATGCGCGTCTCCCGCATTTCCCACAACTCATCCCTCACACCCCCTCCCCGCAATAACAACCAAAACAGAATCCCCCTCGTCCTCACGTACCACCCCACCAACCTCCG